TGACTTAGAAAAACTTGTATTTAGACTGTTTCTAAGTCAATTTGCTATAAAAAGTAACTTTTAAGTACAGTATCTCAACACCCCTTTAAATAATCCCTTTTCTATTTGAGCAGTTTAATTCTCTATAAAGTTTACTTAGAAGTACATACAGTATTCATCTGAAAGGGATTCTAGCTTCCTCAAATTCCTTTAGATTTAAATTAGTTTTGATGAGAAAAAATTTTTTAGTCTAATTTTCAGTCTAAATTTATTCATTCAACAGGGTTTATATTTATAAAATGTGCTAGAGATCACAACTCTAAAAATTAAACAACTGGTATGTTTGTTTCTATTAATTTACATAACATTTCAACATACCATCATAGCAGGAGTCATTCCACTTCTTCCCACCCCACCTTTTTACTATTGCAAATAAACTCCCAAAGCCACCTAAATATTTAAATCTAAGTACAAGCCAAGCTGAAAGTGAGAAACATGTAGCCCAAAGGGCAAAGAACCCAACCCAGAAAGTATCATGACTGCTATTTAACATCCAGAATACCTTAGCAATCGCGGGGTGGGGTGGGGGCAGGCTGGATAATCATAGGGAGGAAGCCAAGACAGAACCTCGCCAAGAGTAGTACAGATAATGATGATAAAATAAAAATAGGCAGATTCGCTCAGAAGCAACATCTGAACTAGATTTCTATCGCCCCCATATTACAGAATGCTGTCGCAGATCAAACTCGTTAAAATACACATCAGTTCCCTAAAAGCTCTCGGGAAACCCTCGAGCGAAGGTAAGGAGGTCCTGGGACCTGTGCGCCTCTGACATAAGAAGTGGGCTGCCCAGCCGAAGGGAGCTACGACGAGGAGAGGCACCTCCGTGACAAATTAAGGAAACCTCCCTTGCAAAAGCCGCGGCAACCACACACAAAAGCAAGATTCGGCCGCACTCACCGTCCACCGTTTTCTTCTTGAAAAGCGAAGCCATGGCAGCGGCCCAGCGGCGAGACGGGTCGAGCCACCGGCCTCCTTCCTGGTTCTCAGGTGACCAGGAAGCTGCTTCAGCGCAAGGAGGCGGGAGGAGGAAAAACCCGCCTCCCGTACTCTGAAAACGCCGAGGCTGGCAGCGAGCGGCAGCGCTGGAGGAGGAGGAGGAGGAGCTGGAGCTGGAGTTGGGCTAGGCGGTGCCTCTGCCGCCGCGGTCGCCTCTCGCCTGCCTTGCCCTGAGCTGCGGCTTCGCTGCGCGCAGTTTGGCGAGATTAAGAGCGCGCTGAGCGTGCGCTGGGCTGCTCCGGGGGCGGAGTGGCGTCCGAGGTCTGGTTGACGTTGGTCCTCCAGAACGGTGACCCCTCAGGAGAAGCGATAACCCGCTTCCTGTACAAGCACAACGTATTTGGGAAGGCTGCAGTAGCACACAAACACCCTCACCCCCTTTAACTGCATTCTCCGTCCCAAAGAAGAAATGCTGTCGAAATGCACATCCAGCTGACATTTTTAGAAAGGAAGAAATTTAACAACCTATGGACTTAAATCAGGCTTTCTTACAACTTCTTGTAAAGCAATAGCTTGAAGACAGAAAAAATATACCTTGGATAGAGAAAATAGCAGATAGTCGTTGAATTTTGCAGACCATCTCTCTCTATAATGCTCTATTTTGATTTTCAACACCTGTAACTGAAGCCTTTCTTGCTAGGTGATGGGTTCATGAAACAGCCCTTCCAGCTGCACGTTCACCAGAAATTAGAAGTGATCCTGTACAAAGCCTTTCCTTTTCTGATGTAATGTCAGGTACTCTTGCTGCCTAATAGAAGGATCTTACAATAATATTTTTATAGATGTTGGTGATAGATGTTGGTATGCTGGTTATCCTTGGCTGAAGCGTAGATACTTGAAGGTCACAGTTATGCAGTGTGCTTCATAACTGCAATGGAGGCTGTGCAAATTCCAAGCAGGCATTCTGCCTGGTGATATAAATGTTCTGTGCATTAGTCAATAGAAAGATTGACTGTGCATTAGTTAATACAATACAAAGATTGACTCAATACAGACTATACACTTTTGAAAAAGCAGAATTATTTGACAAAGGGGTTAGCTGGAGTATTTTTTTTTAAACCTCCTTTTGTATTTAATAAATTATTAGAGTGCGAATTCAGCATATATGCTGACAGGGAATTGCCAACTTTCCTCTGCTGCTAGAAGCACAAAGATTCTTGCTTTTCACTTGTCAGCCTATTTGGGAATGATTTTTGTAAATATCTTCATGAATCTGTACAAGCCATATGGTATGCAACAAATCAATTGACTTAAGGTGATGATACTGGCGCTTAATCCCTCCAAATAAATCAGTATAACCAAGGAAAAAACTTGGTGCAAATAATATTACACTTTGGGATGATATATTACTGAACAACCATGAAATGAACAATGATGAATTTATATTCATATTTTGAAAAGATCACCAAATATAAACTACAACACAGGATACAGTAATTTGGAGGAAATGAAAATGATTTTTTTTAAAAAAATGATAGCAATAATGTTCTTAGTATCTCATAAATGATATATTTTGTCTTTCCAAATAAGTAGATAATAAATGTAAAGAAGTCATGCACTAGGTATTAGTCATTACAAGATTCATGTGATAAAAGATAATCATAGTTTTTGCTGTAAAAATATTTTCCACTGTAATTCATAATCATAATCACATTTCAGTAACATATACTAAAATATGCAGGCATATGCCAAAAACGTAGTAAAAATATTTTTTCAGTATAACTTTGCTATATTTTAAAAAATCATTGCAAGTTTTCATTCTTATCTTAGTAAGATACATTTAGCTGCTGTTTTCAAAATACTCTAAGAACAAGACTCAAAATTAATGACATAATTACCTTAGAAATAGGTAGTTCTTTCGTGTTCTGATATCCAGCTGCTTTCTTGATATTTCAGGGCATTTTTTGTTCTCATTGTCTATAGCTGGAAGAATACTCTTCATATTCATATTATTTTGCAGCATACTCTGAAAGCATCTGATTGATATAGCTTTGTAGCCACCTTTATTTTGAACGTTTGTATCTAGCCATCCATCCTGTTTTCGAATCTTTAATGTAAGCCTGAAGATTTGGGTTCCCACATATGTCGAAGTGCATTCACCAAGAGAGCTGCTCCGATAGATATGCAGGACAAGCCTTTCTCCATATTACTCTCAATCCCTGTCATGTCTCAGGCACATAGAACTGTTTCAATATAGTTAAAGCTTTGACCACTGAAGTACTCTCTATGCTTCATAAATTATATTTGTACTTTCTTGTTATATTTCCTGAATTTTCAAAATGTGTGAACTGCCAATTCAGGTAAAAGTTGAGTTGCTAATTCTTACTTCTGTAGCCTATAATTTCAGTTCCACTGCTTTGCATGATGTTACCATATCACATGTGACAATAAAAGCTATTATATAATAACAGTGAGCTGATTCTTGATAAGCAAGGTTTGTTCTTAATTCAAGGAAATATCACAACCTCTTGTGTCATTTTGGTGTTCCATTTGTCGAATCCATTGTAATAAGATGCATTTGCTGAATCAATCCTTATAATATTTTCTACAGTTTTAGGTACTATTATAAAGGACTAAGGCACCCTGGGCACAATGGAACTCACTTGAAGAAACTGCATAGGATTGCACAATTGATTATTTCCTTATCCCAAAACTTTTCCTGTTTGCTAATGTCATACAGTAAAGAGAATGAATTACAATCCAAGAACTCCTGCTTCAGAATTATATACATACATTTTGCTATTTCTTCTCAGGCTAAGAAACAATATGCAAAGCTTTATAAAAGAGTAAGAAACATAACTGAACCTTGTTTACATCAATGCTATTCACTGTACAGGACCTCAGCATACCTTGCTATCCTTGGAAACATTCCTTGCTTCCACCATGTCCATACACATATTGATACACTGCCTTTGTTATTTAAGCTTCTCACCCTCTTTTTGAGATATCATTAACTCCACCCAACCCCAACTCTCTTACTTTCCCTTTCCTCTCAATTTTTTTTTTTCTTGTTTTTCAGTTTGATTCTCATTCATTTTCTCATATGACTAAACCACCTCAGTGTACTTTTTTCATATTTTTATATTCAACTTACATTTATTAAGTACCCATTGATTCTTAGGACCCTTCTTGTTCTACCACAGAAAGTTCTTATGAAACATTTGCACTGCATTCAGTTGCAAAGCAACCATGTTTCTTTTTCTGACAAACAATCTCTTACAACATACCATATACTGTCTACTACCTTTCTACCAGCATTTGTACATCTGAAAATTTCTCCATTCTCCCAACTTTAGCAAACATTCTACCAAGGTACACAAATTCATTTGCTTACTCTAGTTTTTCCCTATTTAAGGATAACATGCTAAACCCATCCATATTTTAACATTTATTCACTTAGATAATTTATACCTGCAATCTTAATTTTTTCAGCATTCTCACAAATGATTCATACTTTCCTGCAGTTAGGCAATGCTTGCTAAGCAACTCTTCTTATGTCTGAATCTTCTACCGGAGTGTGACCAAAGGAGTTTTGGAAAGGTTATGCCTATTTAATCATTGTGAAGCATTTTGAAGTCAGAAATGTTCAAGCTTAAGGATGAAATGATACTTCTTTACAAGATAATACTAAGTTATATCAACACTTCTATATAGATAACTTTATGCTGTTTTGTTCCCTAGCATATTGTAATAATGAATTGTTTTACTAGAAGCAGAGAAACTTGTGTACAAATCTACTTAGCCATGAAGCTGATTGGAGCCCTTGGGCTAAGTACTGAACATTTCCAGATGGTGATTTGATGTGATGCAAATTTCTGAAAACCTCCAATTCCCCAACATCCTCAGAAAATCTATTTGGGTTTTTTTCTGACTTGCTTTTCAAATGAATGAAACTTGGTATCTAGAGATTTCATCCTGTGCTTATAGGTATCTTTTTTCCAACTGGAAAGTACTTAGTGCCATGTTCCCTATTCTCAACAAATAGGTGATGTTTCGTACAGCCTATTTTAGTAACCTGCTGGGACCTTTGGTCCTGGGGAAAAGTCTTGAAATTCAATTTTTTTTCTGCTATGCTAGTCTTGCTGGGTTGCTGCATGTATATTTCCCTGGATTTGCCAGAATCCTGCTTTACAGTGCAATGGCACTCTGGTGAATGGAAAGTTCTTGTGGTTTCTGAATACATTTGTTAATTGCTTTTAAAAGTAATACTGCCATTATGGCCTACTGGAAGGATCATTTTGCAAATTGCCAGACAAATGTACACAAATATATGTGGACAAATTATTATTATTATTATTATTCATAAATATTGTGTGTATGGGGCAGGAATCCTAAGAGTGAAGAGCTGTTTGTTAATTCAAACCTAGAATTCAAACCTAGAATGTGTACACTCTCTCTTATTGGTTAGTCATCTTGAAACAGAGAAGTTGAGCACTGATTCGCTGGCACTCTGCTCAGTAATTGGCCATTATCAAAGAAGGTTTCTCTGCAGACTCCAAATTTGCAGTCATCTAGATGGTAACAGGTTAGAAACATTTGAGGTCTTCAGTTGAAGACAAGGTAGAGAAGTACAGATTGATTTTAAAGTATATTGGACATTATTGGTAATAAAAACACTTGTCATGTGACAGATCTAATTCATAGAGTAGTTGTGCAGATACATTAGGACATCTATATCTAATATATAGATCTAGGCATAAAATTAGATATATAGATAGCTGTGATCCTTGGAAGAAGCTTGAATAAAAATTCTTGTTTATATTTACAAAGAAGCAAGTCCTATTGTGCTAATTGTTTTTAAAACCTAAGATAAATGCTGTGTATTCCTAATTGTGATCAATTCATGATTTTTAAGAATCAATTCATGATTCAATGTTCAAATTTGCGAGTGTGTGAACCTTTTTGCCAAAACTGCTTATCTTTTTTATTTTTTGACATTAATCTTATGCAGTTGTTTCCCTGCAGCTGCATATTTTTATTTATGGTTGTTTTTGCATTTTTTAAGCTGTTCATAAGCT